GAGGATCCAAGCTCCAGGCCGACCAGTCTCCAAAGATAAAGAGGCGGGAGTGGAGCCAGCGCAGGGCACGTGGCAGCCTGCAGGGGGCGCTGGGCTGCCGCCCGCCACCCCCCCAGGGCCGGGGCCTTCTGTGGGGGAGGGGCTCAGTGGACACTTGCTGGGCCAGAGAGGGCCAGGGGCCCGGGGGTGTTCTTCTCTCTCCCCCCTAAAAGGTGGGCCTAGGGTCATCGGCATCAGAACGAGGGGCGCTGCCAGGCAGGCTGGGCCTGAGCCCTGCCCGCAGCCCTACTGTGCACCCACCTGGAGTCGGGAGCCGCAGCCCTACTGTGCACCCACCTGGAGTCAGGGGCCAGTCTTCCCCACGGCCAGGCTCTGCCCTCGACCATCCCAGGCAGGCCCCCGCCCGGCCCCAGGTCGCTCACTGTTCCCACCTGGCCCAGGGGAGGGGCGTGGGCACCCCAGGTGTGCCTGGGACAGCCTGGTGTCCCCAAAGTCTTCATCCTCAAAAGCGCCTACCTGGTTCATCACAATGACTTTAAAAAGAATAGAGAAGCTGTGTGACAACAACAGAAAGTCTCAGTGACAGATACCGTGATTTACTTTTGGAGAACCGCGGCTTCCGCCCCCCCACGCTGGGGCTTGTTAGAGTGGGGCCACCCACAGCTGAGTGGACACGGTGGAATACTACCTGGGCGTCAAAAAGGACGAAGCCCCGATTCAGGCTGCGGCTCGGACCACACTCGAGGACGTCACCGAAGGATTCCGTTGGCATAGAGTGGACAGCACACAGCGGTGGGTGGGGGCAGATGGGGGGGTCACATCTAACCAGTGCAGAGTGCTTCTCTCTCTCCACTGAACACCGTCTGGGCCTTCGATGGTGCTGAGGTGGCCTTGACCTTGGGATCCTCCTGCCTCTCGACCTCCCCAGTGGCTGGGCGGCAGGCGTGGGCCACCACAGCGGCCAGCGGGCTGGTAAACGCGCTCTTGGGGGCTCTGAGCCCTCCCAGGCACTCATGGCTCTTACCCGGGACCACAGAGAGGGCCTTCAGCCTGCACCCGTGCAAACTAGTCACCGCCCCGAGAGTGCTGGTGGCCCGCTCCTGGGACCCAGTGACTCGGGTGTGGAGGGTCTAGGGCTGAGCTGGGGACAGAGCAGGACAGGCGGGCACAGCCCGGGCTCCGCCCACCGTTTCCGGCAGAGAACACGGAGCGATCCGGGTGCCAGGTCCCTGCCGGCTGCCCCTGGGCACAGGCCAGCCCCTGCCCCCTGGCACCTGGGTGAGGCCCAGCTCGCGGGTTCTCGCGCCCCTGAGGCGGAACAGCCTCTCCCAACTGGCTTCACCTGCCTGGAGCCGCCGTGGGCGGCCGCTGTGGGCGGGGAGGCCCGGCCAGCCGCTTGCCCAGCCAGGAGGAGGACGCCCTTGACACCCACGAGACCAGCCACTGCCGGTGGCTCACCCATCTCCCCACAGGATGGCCGCGGGCCCCTGGACGGGGACGGCACAGATGCACAGGGCCACCCAGACAGCGGCAGACACCCCTCACCCGGCACGTGCCACCTGTGCGCTCCCCACTGCTCCCTGGTCAGACGACCCGACGGAGACCTGAGACAGAGGCGCCCACCCCACAGGGAGGACAGGAGGAGGACCAGGGCAGAGCAGGTCAGCCGCCAAGAGGGCTGGCCCTGGACGGGGCTCCCCGTCACCTCCCTCGCCAGCTGCAGCCCGCAGATCCCATGGCACCGTGGCGGTGGCGCGGATGTCACTCGCTGGGCTCCGAGGGCTGTGCTGTCCAGGGTCAGGGTTCCTGGCAGAAGCGCGAGGCCCAGCCCACAACGTCCCTCCTGGGGTCAAGGCTTAGAGACGACTTCATTTCCTTGGACTTTCAGCTGCAGGTGGACACAGCACAATGCCCTCCTTCTCCTGGGCCAGGGCAGGCTCCACCGCGGAGGCTGAGGCAGGAGGATCGTATTCCCGCCTCCACCCTCTGCTCTGTGCCCTGGAACGTCCCACAGGACACCCGCCCTCCCAGGAAGCGGCTGCCAAGTGCCCACCACTTCCTGTTTTTCCAAAATGTCCCCATTGGGGATGGCGAAGTCTCCAGGAGTTCCGGAGGGGGTCTTGACCCTCCAGGGCACACGACCCTCCGGGCGGAGGAGACCGGGCAGGTGGGACTCCCGCTGCGGCCGTGGTCACTCGCCCTGAGATCACCCGTCAGGGACCTGTGCCAGCTGCCACTGCCCAGAGAAGGGAGAGGCCACGACCCCCTGGGGGAGGGAGAGACGCCCCAGTGACCGCCCGCCCTGACGGCCATGAGACACTCTGCGTGGACACCCAGGCCATCTCCCAGGACGAAGGACGCGTGGAGGGCGAGGAGCCTCCAGCCGGCTACCACTCACGGTGTCCCTGCGGTGTCCCTGCGTCCCCACCCCGGGGCTCCTGGCTTTGGGAGTCCCTCCCCGTCCCCCACCAGCTGCCCAGTCCCTGCTGTAACTGAAGCCGGGCGGTCAGGCCAACCCAGGACCACGCTGAGCCAGGAGAGTGGGTGACCTGGGCCTGGGATCCCCTGCCGGGCTCCCGGGTCACCCCAGCGCGGCGCGGGACCTTCTGGAAAAGGCCGAGCTGCAGACGGTGACACCGGTGGCCGGGAACCAGAGAAGGGGACGGCGGCAGAGTGGAGGGTTTTCAGGGCTGGGAGCATGTCACACCCACAGGACACACACCCAGGCTGAACCCCAAGGCCAGCCCCGGGCTTAGGATGGGCGGACAGTATGTGACCTAGACTGTCACTCTGGGTGACCTGTGACGGCCACATGTCCATGCAGGGCCAGCAGCTGTAGAGGAACAAGCCGTGGGGCTGTGGGCAGTGGGGTACTGTCGCTGAGTGTTCACGGTGTGTTGAAAGGGAAGAGGATGGGGTGAGTGCTGGGCGCAGGGTACCACGCACAGGCCTGGGTCCCCCCACACCACAAAGGGGGCGACTCCTTAGATGGGGGACACCTTCCTGGACATGAGGGACCCTGCCGGCCTGCCCCTTGGGCCGTGAACTGGTTTGTTTCTTTTAAATTGCTCTAAATCTCGCTCCTTTAAAATTCTGAGATTAAATAAAACCCTGAACCCGCTCCCGCCCTCCCGGCCCTCGCTGGATCCTTTCCGATTCCCTGGGTCCCTCCTGTCACCCCTGAGGCCTGGGGAAGGCCACACCAGGCTCCCTCTGTGCGGATGGAGGCCAAGCCTGGGAGGCTGCGAGGCCACGGTCACAGAGTTGAGCCCCGGGTGGCGACGGGAGCCATTGTCCCAGAGAAAGCATTTTCCTGGCCGTCCGTGGGGGTGACAGGTGACGGCCACTTGTGGATGAAAAGGCAGAATTCTCCTTTGAGGTCCCAGGAGGTAAGCTGACTGTGACCCGGGTTTGCATCAGACTGACCCTAAGGTCCCCAATAAATGGTGGCAGGACGGGGGCATCTTGATCCCCCAGATTCTAACCCATCAAGGACGACCCCGTCGGGACCTCGCACTCAGGCCCAGGACCCCCAGGCCTCGGGGCAGCTCCTGATCTGAGACGGCGCCTGGTGTGCGTCGGCCTGAGGTCACCTGGGCACCGTCGGGGCAACAGCCCACTCTGCGAGCCCCGAATCCCGTCCGACCCAGCACATGGGCCGGGAGCAGCCCTTCTCGGGAACCGAGAGTCGGGGTCTCGATGACAACTGAGCCACACCCAGATGCCATCATTTCCCTGCCCCTTCCAGAACGACTCTGCTCAGGTAGGAAAGGGAGTGGGGGTGGAGGCCACGGGCTGGCCGGTCCAGGGCTGGCCGGTCCAGGGCCCGCCTCCAGGCCTCGCCACCCGGATCGACTGACAAAGCGCCTTCTGTTCCGCGCTGGAGGCGGACGGCTCTCCGTGTGCATTTCATTAAACCCGGAGCCGTGGCTGGCTGCCATCGTGACGCTGTGGGCTCCCGTGGCCAACGTCCAGCCGGACGCGCTGGCACCCGGCCCCCACCCCTCCTGACGGCGGTCCCCAGGACTTTTCTGCCGTCACAGAGCACACAAGGGCTCTCTGTGGCAGCCCCTGGAGACCCACAGGCACTTTCCTTCCCAGAGGGACCCATGACAGCTCACGGGAGGAATCAGAAACTGTACTGAAGCCAGAAGCAACGTGCGGGGCCAGGCTCACTGAGGAGAGCGTCGCGGGTCCTGTACGCTCAGACTTCACACACACACACCGCCACGGTCACGCTCTGACTGCCCACGAGGCCGATGTCCCTTCAGGCCTTGGTCTGTTCTACGTGTGTCAGTCCCAGGAGGGGACCCGGGGCCTGAGAAATGACCCAGCTCTGCCTCAAGGTGTGCACCACAGGGAACACACAGAGGCCACTCTGACCTGCCGCTCCAACCACATCCCCCAACGTGAGAAATGGCGTCCACATCCGGGGCCCGAGGCCTCGGCACCGGGCCTGTGCGACGTGGTCTTCCTGCACGTCGGCCACCCCACGGGGAACCCCAAAGGGGGCCCGAACCACAGGAAGCCCGTGTAGACAGTGGAGGAGATGACCCCCTTCTTTGTCTGGTTTGCGCCCTGGTCCCGGCACCCGGAGGTCAGGCAGGACGTGAGCCCACGGTTCAAGGCCAGCCTGGGCCACCCAGGGACACCCCTGTGGAAATCACGCCCATCACACGGTTACAGAAAACGGTTCTGTAAGCCCCCCTTCAAGATCAGGCCCAACCAGGCCCCACGGCGCACACCTGCATCCCAGGGGCTCGGGAGGCTGGGGCAGGAGGATCGCCAGCCTCAGCAACTTAGCGAGGCCCTAAGCCACTCAGTGGGACCCCGTCTACATACAGCAGAAAGCAGGGCTGGGAGGGGCTCAGTGGTCAGCGCCCCTGGGCTCAACCCCCAGTGATCTCCCCAAGTCAGGTCCAGAGCGTGGGAAGTCCAGGGAGGCCGGACACCACGACAGTCACCCCCGGGACCTCCCACCCAGACACGGCACGGGGGCAGCAAAGCCTCGTCTTTTATTTTGCATCTGGGGCCCCGCGGTGTGCCTGGTGGGCGCCAATGGCCTTTCCTTGCACTTAACAACAACAAACGCAGGGGCTCAAGTGACCCATGGCCAAGGGGTCTGCGACCAGGACCCTGAAGCCAAGCCCACGAAGTCGTGAGGCAGGACCCCGTCCTGGGGAGGGAGGCCCTGGCCCTGGGCGCGCAGCGGGCAGGACCGTCTCAGGTAAGGCAGGCGGGCTTCGGAGTCGGAGCCACCACCAGAAAGGCCACTGAGGCAGGAGGAGGAGCCAGCCGGTGGCAGGTCACCCAGGGACGGCGGGCGGCCAGCGGTCACAGCCCTCCGGGACGACCTGGGGTCGCGGCTCCCTGGGACCAGCCAGCTCCAGGCCACCGTCTTTGCCTGTCCTGGGCGGACTCCAAGCAGCAGTTTATGGGTCTGGACTTTGTGACGTTTTCCCCCCAAAAGAAGAATCAAAGGTGGACTCTGCGGAGAGGAGGCCGGGCGGCCTCTCCCAGGGTGGCCTCCTGCGGCGCGGCGCCCGCTCTCCAGGGTGCCCGAGTCCTACAAGCGCTTGTAGGTGCCCAGGAGGGCTTTGCAGTTGGGACAGTAGTGGTCCACGTCCTGCAGGGCGTCCACGCAGAAGGGGATGAAGCAGCAGCCGGCCACGCACCTGGGGAGACAAAAGGAGCCACACGTCAGCAGCCGCGGCAGGTGGGGTGGGGCCAGCGTCCTGACACCTGGGAACCTGGGGGCACTAGGAAAGGGCATTTGAAATGGGGTCATCCGAACGGCCCTCAAGCGCAGTGACGGGCGTCCTCGGAAGAGGGAAGGCTAAACGGCGCGGTGGCACTCCCGTAAGCCCAGACTCGGGAGGCTGAGGCAGGAGGATCGCCAGCTCAAGGCCAGCCTCAGCAATTCAGCAAAGAAGAAAGGCCAAGAGACACAAAGGCCCGACTGGAGTGCAGCGCCACAGCCAGGAGCACCTGGGCCACCGGAAACGGGGGACGGCGAGGACAGCTCTTCCCCAAGAGTGGCTGGAGGCAGCGTGCCCTGCTGCCATCTTAACTCTGGGCTTTTGGCCTCCGGGATCGTGAGAGAGCACTTTAAGGGTCTGTGGGGGTCAGGAGACTCCTACACCAAGCCTCCCCGCCTCCCCGGGGCCAGTTTCCAAACCTGGGAGCATTCAGCGTCTTTCAGAATCTCAGATGGGAGGCCGGTGAGTTTTGTTTTTGTGAAAAGCACACAGTGGGGGTTGGGGACCCTCTTGTTTGTTCATGGCACCAGGGCTCCAGCCCCGGGTGCTCTGCCACTGAGCCACATCCGGCCCTCTCTCTTTTATTTTGAGGCAGCGTCTTGCTAAGTTACTGAGGCTAGCCTCAAACATGTGATCCTCCTGCCTCAGCCTCCCCAGTCACTGGGACTACAGGCCTGCACGGTGACACCCAGCGACTCAACTCGGCTCTGAAGCAAGAAAACTGCCGAAGGGAATCTCCGAACAAGTGAGGCTGGCTGCCTTCACTCAGTCGTGGGCCCGTTTCCCGCCCAGGTCCCATCCCTCTCTTCACACAGCAACCAAACCGAGATCCCAACACCCCCCCCACCCCCCCGCAGCCAGGTGACCCCAGGTGGCCACGTCCACACACACAGCAGGACTCCTGCAGCCCTGGAACCAACCCGGTCACCACCAATCACAAAAGACACACACTGTGTGATTCTGCTGCTGTGGTCACATTAGAGGCAGAGGATAGAGCAGCTGCCAAGTCACCAACAATGTCGATGAAGTTCCGCCCCTGGCAGGAAGGCAGAGCCGAGGAGGAAACTTCTTGTGAAAGACACTTCCTCTTTCCTCCCTGCCTCAGTACAAAGCTCAAATCCAGGCAGCCACACCACTTGGAGGTTTCGCTACCACACATCCCCAGGCAAGCTCACAGATGGGGAAAGCCAGCACAGAGAGGCACAGTCACCTGCCCACTGTCACACAGCTGGTGTGAGGGGGTCTGGCCCTACTCTGCCACATTTAAGAAGAAGACAGACGGAGGAACAGAAAGTCGGTGTCAACCTCGAAAGCGAGATCACAGAGGCTGACTTGCAATCTTCATTTCTATTCTGTCTTCCTGTTTTAAAGATGATGTTTCAGAGGTTTTTTGTTTGTTTATTTTAGGGGTTTTGGATGTTTGTGTGGGGAATGGTCCTGGACCCAAGGGAGCCTTACCACACTGAGCTACACCCCTAGCCCTTTTAGTTTTTGAGACAGGGTCTCTCTAAACTGTTCGAACCTCACTAAGTTGCTGAGGCTGGCCTTGACCTCCTGCCTCAGCCTCCAGTCCCTGGGATCCCAGGCCTGCACCACCGTGCAGTGCCCAGTGCCGGCAAAGTTTCACTCTATACAAACACCCGGGTGATGGACTTTGTAGCATTTTCTGTCCAGGGAGGGAAACCCACAGGCCATGGGGAGCCATGGGCAGGCAGGGGATCAGATGGCCAGGGACAGGTTGGTCTCCCAGCAGGGCCTGACCTCAGGGAAGGGAGCAAGCTCTCTGGGGCTGCGAGCCCCTCTCTGAAACAAGGAAGAGAAATGCTGTTCCTTATTGCCCTGATGTCACAAGCACACGACGAGGACGTGGCACTGCCCAAGAGCAGAGGACTCCTGAGACCACTCCTGACCCCTCTCCTTCAAGGGAAACTCGGCGGTGGTTTCCCAAGAGCTCCGTGGCCGGGAAGAGGCCCGGACCTGCTGGGTGGGGTTCAGGTGTTCCCTCCAATTCCCCCCAAGAGCAGACCCTAGGGTCTTCAGACATGACGCCCTGGGAGCAGGCGGAGAGCTCACTGAACCCCACAGAGGCAGCGGGGAGAGCGGCCAGTGGTGGAGGGACAGAGTTCTGAGGGTACTGGGCCTGGGTTAGTGCCCAGACCCCTGGGGCTCCTCCGAGTCAGCAAACCCACTATCAGGTGGGTCTGAAGTTCTACAAGAATCAGAGACCCCAAGGGCCTCACCCTGCGCACATGTGAGCGCCGCTGGGTCCCTCTGCAGGAGGGGCGGACGCTCAGGAGCCCGTGGGTCCCTCTGCAGGAGGGGCGGACGCTCAGCTGCGGGGCTCCCAGCCGGCGGAGTCTGCACCCCGGGGCATCTGGGGTGTAATGCAGCAGGGGGGGCGGGGGTCCAGTGGGGACGGGTCAGGGATGCGCCCCGTTCCCCACGGGATGGGTGCAGCCCAGGGGAGGAGCGATGGCCTAGGGGCCAGGCCCTGGGTCCAGCCCAGCCGCAGCCCAGCGCGCGCAGGACTCACCCCAGCAGGCACAGGCTCCCGCAGGACAGCCAGGTGAGGGCGCCCGCGTTGTAGGACAGCTGGGTCACGATCATCTTGCTGCACGACGGGCAGCACATCTGGACCGGACGGTCGAAGAAGGTCACGGGCTGCTGCACGTAGACGGTCTGCACGGCAACTGGGCGGGAGGAGGGAGACACCTTGGCTGGGCTCCGTGGCGGGACACCAGTGGCCACGCCCAGAGCCACGCCCTCACACCTGGCCCACCCCGAGGCTGGGGGGTCTGTCCGCTGGCAATCGGATCCGCTAAACGTGGTCAGTCCACATGGTGGACATCAGCTTCAAAAAAGGAGACTCCCACATTCGCTGGCCACAACGTGGATGACCTCCAGGACATGGGGCAGGGTGGCCCGATCCAGCCACGACAAAATGTCGTGCTTCTACTTATAGGAGGTCCCAGGGCAGTCGAATACAGAAACGTGGCACGGCCGTGGCCAGGGCCCGTGGGGCAGGAATTAGATGTTAGTGTCCAGGGGGCATTTCGGTTTGGGGAGACGACCAGTCTGGACATGGGTGGTCGGGATGGCCGCACAACTCTGTACCTGAGGCCACAGAGCTGCCTCCTAAAGGTCAAGGATTGTGTGTCTGGAGATTTCACGGTCAAGGAAGAGACAGCGGGCAGTGGCCAGGCCTGCAATCCCAGAGGCCGAGAGGCAGAGGCTCAAGGCCACCCTGAGCAACTCATCCGGGCCCTAAGCAACCTAGTGGACCTGCCTCAAAATAAAAAGGGCTGGGAGGGGGCTCGGTGGGAGAGCACCGGCTCCAGGCCCAGGTACCACACACACAAAAGTAAGAAGCCGTAGAGGAAACGAACGGGGCAGCTTCGTGGGACCCTACTCCACGGCTCTCAAGACCTCACACAGGAGGCAGACAGCAGGTCCTCCCACTGCCCTGTCCACTGAGAACGGCGGGATCCCGGCCCTGCCCCAGGTCCGCCCGAGCAGCGCCCGGGAGCACCCACTGACAGGCGTGTGCCACCAGGCCCGGCCTCACAGACCTGGATGGGAGTCCAGGGTCCATGACGGGGCAGTCGTGAGAGCAGGGACCGTGCACCCAGCTCTGGGGGATGCTGCAGCCCGGGTCAGGAGGAGAGCGCATGAGGTGACGTGAGGGACCCCACGCACAGGCACGTGGCCATCACAAGACGCTCTGGGAGGGAACTGCTGCGCACTCAAGTTCCCAGAGCTGAGTGTCTGGTCAAGTGACTTCTTCTTCTCCTTTTTATGTCCTCAGGAGGCCACGGGTGAGGCTGCTCTGGGGGACTTAAGGACTGCCCAGAGAGCACTGGACAAGTGACACCCCAGTCCTTTTCTTCAGTCCTGACACAGGAGCTGGCTAAGTTGCTGAGGCTGGCCTTGAATTTTCGATCCTCCCACCTGAGCCTCCCAAGCTGCTGGGACGACAGGTGTGTGCCACCGTGCCCGCTCGTCACGGTGTACTGAGCGTCTACAGTGGTCACTGGTCCTCTTCCCCAGCCCAGCGCCTATCCACAGACAGAGGCTCTCCCGGGGCTCAGAACCCCGATTTCCTTTCTAACATTCCACTGAGGTGGAGACTCGCCAAGGCCTGCCCTACAAGTGGGCAGCTGAGGACGTTCAGTGACCTGGGCAGGCTGACCCTCCCCTCCCTCTCCCTGGATCAG